TATCTTGTATGGTTACGTTACTTGTATGATGAACGTTTTCTTGAAGGAAATCTTAGTTTTAGTGCAGTGCAATATCATCATGTGGCGCAGAGCATCAGTACATTGGTAAGATGTTTTAAACATCCAAAAAAAAAAAAAAAAAGCAATCTAGTTTTACATTTCCTACTGGACACTGAACTATGAAATAACTAGTGCAGGAAAATATTGCTCTTCCTTGGTCCAGTGCTGCTCCCCAGCATCTTTTTGGGAGGTTAGTCCCAAAAAATAATTAAAGAATTTTTCCTCTGATATGCACTTTCCTCTTTTGCACGTAAACAGAACGGTCTTAGCTCCATCTTTTGCAGCTCTTACCCAACTAAATGAACTGTATAAATTGGGTTGAGGTGATTTAGAGCTGGAAAGTAATAAAAATTGTTGTTTTAGCACTTGAAAACACACAAGGAAAGCACAGAGAGAGAGAGAGAGAGAGAGAGAGAGTGAGAGACAGGGGAGAGAGGGAAAAGGAGAGTAGGTACAGAGCAAAGTTGACCATCTTCTATTTTCCGCTCATAATAATGTGAGACAGAAAGAGAACCTAACATCCACTTCCTGAAAGGCTTTAATTAGAGACTTCATAATTAGATTCCCAGACAACAAAGCCATCAGTCTACATGACCTGTATAGATCAGAGTAAAATTACTTTACAGTAAGCACACAAACACTAACATACTCACACTCCTGTTAGAATGGAGCAAAATAAGCACATAGTAGGTATATATAGTACATGTATGATATTAGATGAGAGGACTAATAGCTATCAAAACTTTGGAGCAATACATTATATCATAATAAGAATAATGAGAATAATAGCATTGTAAGAATGATGTGGGGCAAACTATTACACACAGACACTTAAAGACAGTTGATTCATGCATTCAGTGTTTAAGGGTTTCAAGTCCTCTGAATACCAAACATGGCAAACAGAAAAGTTGTAACCCTTTTGTTCAAAACCCTAAACATGCAGTTCTGCCATTTGTCCTTTTATCTCATTTGTACACGGTTTGGGGAATGTTCGCTCCGCCTAGCCACATTCAGTTTCTCCTCCAAAAGCATTTTCCGCAATCCATCAATAATGTGTTTCACGTGCACTTTCTCAATCACTGCTTACGAATGCGTCAGCAACATGTGCTGAAAAATATCAGCCCAAATGGAGATTAACTACAGAAGGCGTTTCATTCTGTGTAATCACTTGACACAACACTCACTGATAGACTGTGTGAATCGACAGTCTGGGCTAGAAGGAAATCAGCCCCAGTGCAACAGATTTATAGTTTTCACACCTGTCTTTCACACTGTTTGCATGACCCACATCCACATTCTCTGATGCCTAAACAGCCCAGTGATACTCAAAGGTTATGGGAGGTGTGTATAATTGTGCACCTTTTTGCTGCTGTGACCTTTTTGGGCATCCTGGTGAAAGACATGATTATGATGCAAAAGATTTCAAAGCTTACTTGAGGTAAAAAAAATAAATAAATAAATAAATAAAAAAACACTTCCTGCTATGAAAAGGAGCTCATGATATGATGTGAATGGGTATTTAAAAAAGAATCTGTGATAAGGAAACCATCCACTGACCACACAAGCTTGATAATGCCTTTGAATTCTCCCACATACCTGATCAATATCAGTCCTTAGCTTTTAATACATTATATATATATATATATATATATATATATATATATATATATATATACACACATACATACACACAGGAATTTCAGCCATTTTTTGCATAGTCCCTCCATTTTCACAGGCTCAAAAGTAATTGGACAACTGACTGATAAGCAGTTTCATGGTCAGGTGTGGCCCGTTTCCCTGTTATTTCATCACAAATTAAAGAGATAAATGGTTTCGAGTTGATTCCAAGCACTGAATTTGCATTTGGTAGCTGAACTCTCAATATGCGGTCTGAAGCGGTGTCAATGCAAGTGAAGGGGGCCATCATTAGGCTGAAAAAACAAAACAGACCTATCAGAGAGATAGCAGAAACTTTAGGAGTGGCCAAATCAACCGTTGGGTACATTCTTAAAAAGAAAGAATGCACTGGTGAGCTCAGCAACACCAAAAGGCCTGGAAGACCACAGAAGACAGCTAAAGTGGATGATCGCAGAATCCTTTCCTTGGTGAAGAAAGACCCCTTCACAACACCTAGCCAAGTCAAGAACACTTGCAAGGAGGTAGGTGTATCATTATCAAAGTCTACAATCAAGAGACGCCTTCATGAATGTAAATACAGACACTTTACCTCAAGATGCAAACCACTAGCAACACTCAAGAACGGAAAGGCCAGAATAGATGTGCTAAAAAAACTCTAAATAAAAAAGCCTGACCAGTTCTGGAACAAGATTCATTTGATAGGAAGAGAAGAGTATGGAGAAAGAAAGGAAGGGCTCATGATCCAAAGCACACCACATCTGTCAAACATGGTGGAGTAAGTGTTATGGCATGAGCATGTAAGGCTGCCAGTGGAACTAGGACACTGGTGTTTATTGATGATGTGACTGCTGATAGAAGTAGCAGGATGAATTCTGAAGCGTATAGAGCTATACTATCTGCTCACATTCAGTCAAATGCTGCAAAACTGATAGATAGATAGATAGATAGATAGATAGATAGATAGATAGATAGATAGATAGATAGATAGCATTTATTGTCATTGTATTTCTACAACGAGATGAATGGAATGACGGGTCACATCTTCCCCCTATAAGGAGAGATAGGACGGTGCTTCACAATACAGATGGATATCAATCCGTGAAATCAATCCAAGAGCTTCTTAAGGCAAAGAATGGAATGTTCTTAAATGGCCGACGATCTCAATAGAGCATGCTTTTCACTTACTGAAGACAAAAGTGAAGGTGGAAAGATCCACAAACCTGCAGCAACTGGAAGCGGCTACAGGAAAGGCCTGGCAAAGCATCTCAAGGGAGGAAACTCAGCATTTGGTGATGTCCATGAGTTTCAGACTTCAGGCAGTCATTGACAGCAAAGGATTTGCATCCAAGGATTGTTAGTTTGTCGTATTACTTTTGAGCCTGTGAAAATGGAGGGACTCTGCAAAAAATGTCTACAATTCCTAAATGGTTAATGCAATATTTTTGTTAAAAGAAATTCTTGATTGCTTCATTTAAAATCCACTGTGGTGGTGTACAGAGGCAATTGTGTCACTGTCCAAATATTTATGGAGCTGATTGTATATACTGTGTGTGTGTGTGTGTATGTGAATATATATATATATATATATATATATATATATATATATAATATACATTTCTGCATCATCTCATTTACTGGTGATCACTTTATTACGTCTGCTATATCACCTTGACCCTCACCACATTGACATATGCTTTAATATATTTTGCAATAAGAACTGGTTTTCACTTTGCCCTTTATTGCACAGGTTATTATTGTGTTTGCATACCCTGATGACAAACCAAATAAGATTTGAACAAAGAAACGCGCCAACAGCAACTAACCAATGTTCATCATCTACATTTATATATATATATATACATACACATGTTTTCAACTGTCTTTGCTCCAAATATATTTATTTGAAAAATTTTCTGCAATAAGTGTTCAGTACGGAGCCCTGCACATGACATGTGAAAAAATATATCGAGGCCACGAATTAAGAATCCGTTCCCACAACTTATTAATACGTGAGCACGTTTTATTAATTCGTTCCCTCGTTTTAGTTAAACGTGGCCAATACACACACACACATTATATATGTATATATATATATGGAGTCCCAGCCCAGTCATATGAGTGAGGGAATTATGGTGCAAATTTGTAAAGATAAATGTTTACTTTCCACCTGCGGCATAATAAAGTGTGGGTTGTTGAATCGTAATTTATACTTAACATGTGGGTTTCCTACATTACCCACAATGCTGTTTGGATGCCTGATTTTAGACTGTCCAGTTCTCTCACCTCCTCATCTGTGCACTCTGCTCAACCAGATTAGGTTATTTCTCCAACTTTCTGCTAATACTTTCTGCTAATAACGCAGTCATGCTTGTCCTCTTGCAGACTGCCAACTAGCCAAGCCAGGTCTCCGCATTGTATAGCTGCACTGCATTCTGGAAGTCCGAGTCCATCATTTGCACCAATGTCTCCACTATAATATTTCAATATAAACATATTTAATGTGTTTCAGCATGGAGGTTTCCTTTATGTGACTTACACAGGGAATGTGTGACATTTCTCCTCAAATGTCAGTGGAATGAATTAAGTCATTTCCAGCTCAGCTATTTCTGGAAATCAAACAAATGGATGCCTTTACCATTTATAGTCTCCAAAGCAGGGGCCTCCCTGGTCCTTATACATTCCTGAGCAACACCTCACCGTATCGATCTATTATTAATGTTGACAAAGGTATCAAGGAACACATGCTGAAGCAAAACTGCAGAGCAACAAGAGCACATAGGGCACTGGTTTCTGACCTTTCTCCTGGACAGCTATTCCCCAGTTAATATTAGACCCCGATTTAAAAAGATTCATTTCAGAGCTATGAAGACGGAATTTAGCTAAAGTAGATGTTAGATTTGGATTGCTAAAAAAAGAACACCACAGATCTCATGGTGGTCTAACACGACTGATTTACACATTATTATCAAGGTTTTTCTAGAGAGGTCAGAGCAACAATATAAAACCCCTGCTTTTTAAAAAGAAAAATATGGTATCATGTATCCAGGCTAACATTATAATACTATTAGCTACTTAACACACACTAGCTGACTGACCTAACGTTAGCCAGCCTTAGGCGAGTAACAACAGCAAAGCGTCTATGAAATGTAACTAACCTACATTTCTAGCCTGTAACTAGTCTAACTTAGACTAGCAATACTTTAGTGTGCTGATTATGTTAGCAAGTGTTGGTCAGTGTAGGTTAGTGAACCAGCTAGTTCATTAACTATAATATCGATAATTACTATAATATCAAAAATGGGTCGCTGGAGGACTAACGCTTAGGCCAAAGCGCTCTTACTGCCGTGGCCGGGGTTCGATTCCCGGCCAGGGAACCAAACGCTAACCCCTTAAACTCTCAGCTCCTGTCGGCAGGTCGAGACTTCCTCACTCTCGTAAATACACACAATCCTATTCGTTTCGGTAGTTACAGAATATTTCATGTCGTACCACAGCATGCTTGCATTCTCAAGTCTGACTGGTCAGAAGGTGTTGCTAAGTTTCCTATAACAGCATGGCTTTGAGAGTACTGCCAAATGCTAGATTTGTATGAATGCATTCATTCTAATACATTATCATTTCTATAGAAAGCAGTCTATCACAGAGGCTTGTATGGCAGCATTAAATATAACTATAACCAATTATAACTGATGGGTCATTAATGAATAAATTAAAAATGGTCATTGCTGGCAAATTGCCGTGGTGTAACAGGAATAAAACACGTTGGGTGTACTGTTGTAAGAGAAGTTCAGGGTGGTAACTCCACCCTGTGGTAGATGAATTTTCTATAACAGCATGCCTGTAGTGTTGTATGTTGTTGTACATGTAGTTAAAGACTAATATGATTCAAGATCAGTTAATAAATAACTGAGATTTAAGGGATTACTTTCAACACTGACTGTTATTGAAGTATTCCTAGCGCTTCGTTCATGTTTCCCTATCCCACTTTCACTCGTACCACAACGTGGGACATGTTTCCCTACCTGAGATTTTGCCCTGTATGGAGCTTGGTTGGAGTTCAAACTGAGTTCTAGCGAAAGCTAGACCTACAGGAGGAGTTCTGGAGATCGCATGGTGCTGATCAGTAGTTACTAACCCTTCTCTTGGAGATCTATTCGCAAGTGATCAGGTTCATCTAGAGCCTGTTCTCCAGGAGGAGGGCTGGAGATCCTGTGATGTTGAGACTGCTGTGTAACTACATGTCTACGCCGGAAAAACCCACTCCCAGCTCCCTGCACATGTGCACTGTTTTACCTGTGGCAGCGCGGAGCTGATCTGTCTCTGGAGAGCATCCCTCTCATGAAGGGCCTCCTGAAGCTTGGCCTGTGACTGTACGAGAGCATCTCTGGTCTCGCGTAACGACTCCAGCAGCTTGTCTCTCTCGTCCAGCATGTTCACCATCAGCTGCTCGAAATTGGACTCCCCATCCGAGCCGTTCTGAGAACCTCTCTGGGAACTCGTCGAGTCGCCCTCGTTGATGGTCGGCATCACTTCGCACATCATTTTGCCAACCTTTCCGGGAAAACCTGCTGCGAAGTCTCGGTCTAACAGTTTCCTCAATGAGTTAGACGAGGTGATGATATCAAGCCAAGTGCTTTGATTTGGCTTGGGATCACTCACTCAAGATGCCTTACCATGCGCAAAATGAAGACAACCATAATGATCTGATTGGACTTTCCTGTTTACTTCCAAACCATGCCTTTCCCTAAGCAACTTGACCTTTAGTCATTCCATGGGTGTAGGCTTTCTCCATCCTGACACTCTCCACCCTGTTTCCAGAGCTCCGTGGCATCTTTGTCGGACGGATCACTTACATGAGGAGCACATCAGCCTGCATGCTCCAAAATCGTGCTGATTTAACGCCCACCAGTTGCAGTGATAATCGCGGTTATCGTGTCCATCGCATCCTCCAGATCCCTTTGCCATCTGCCATCCGCCACGAGCCAACTCCTTCTCCTCCTCCTCCTCCTCCTCCTCTTCTTCTTCTTCCTCCTCCTCCTTCCTTCAAGCGCGCAGGAACGCAGCCGATCCGCTATCTCCACAATAATACACACATAGCCTGGATTCATCCACGATAACGCAGACGCTGTGCAAGGACACAGAGCCTCGTGTGCGTGGAGAAGCGCATGATCGTCCGCGATCGCTCCAAAAAAAAAAAAAAAAAGAAAAGAAAAGGAAAAACCGCCGGCGTGTTCCTCACATCAGCACCACGCGAGCGCTCTGGCTGTCATGCACACTGAGCTGTCAGGAGCGCCTGTGAAATAACGGCCCGCACTGCGCCCCCTGCTGGCAGCCTTCTAACACTGCACCAACTGGAGCAGGTCCGAGCATCACTTTTCTCCTGCAACCTAAATAACAACATATTTATATATTTATAGCTTTCTACTAGGGAGACATTGGTGTGTCTGGGTGGCAGCTGCTATACTTGAAATAAGCATTGCATTCCCAAATCTGACCTCAAGTCACATGACTGACAGATATATTCCTCAGGGCATGTGCATGACTTCATACATCAGCTCAATCACTTGTTCTAGGTGATCAGATCCACCTTTAGGAAAGGGAGAACAGCTGTGAAGTCAGGGTAGGAGTGACATTATGTGGTCAAAGGAACAGATCTGATATTTTAAAAATGTCCTAGATTAAGCGTGCCAACACATGACTGTAAACCTATAGGTGCCAGTGGTTTATATTGATACTGACCTGATTAATTAGACAGACATTTTTAAAAGCTTTAAAAATTTGGAATTACATTACAATTTCATTTAATTTATGTTTGCTCCTCATTATTATTATTATTATTATTATTATTATTATTATTGTTGTTGTTGTTTTTATTATTATACTTATTATTATTGTTTTTTCCTGTAATCGGCCACTCCTTTAAGCCAGAGTCTCTTCTACAACAAATCCTTAGATGACGTAATCCATAATGCATCTAGACCTTGGTTATGCAGCGCCGTCGCTCATTGGTTGCTTTATCTCGGACGTAGCGCGCGATCCAATCACCGTCGCGCGAGAAATCCGAACTCTCGCGTGAAAGTACGTGAGCGGAAAGGTTAGTTCCATGATGGCTGAAGATCCCGGAGGAGCTTATTTCAATTTCTCTCTCATTTTTCTCTGTTTTTCGTTACCTCTGCTGGAAACATGGCAGGGCACGCAGACACGGTAGACAGTCACAGACTCGCGTCGTTGCCATGCCCAAGAAAGGGAACAGAAAACGGCTGAAGTTTCGAGCCGACGATGTTTGCTCGGAGTCAGGTATTATGGCTAGCAGTCAGTGCTAGCTAGCTGGCTATTTCCACCCAAAGCGGTCTAACATGCGGATAAAAAAAATAAAATAAAAAGCTCGGGATTCTTCAATAAATCCCGTGTAACTGATGCATTAAGGAAACATTTTGGCTTTTGCTTGATGTTTTTGAATGTAGCTGGTTATGCTGCATGACATAAATGATCCATGTAACTGGATGTGATGTAACTTCCGGTCTGTGTTGTCATGCCGCTTTGATTGCAGTAACGGTGGCTGACTATGCCAACGCCGATCCTGCCATCGTCAAGTCGGGAAGACTGAAAAAAGCTGTTGCTAATGCGTTTGAAAAAAAGGGTAAGCCATAAGCCAATAAAGGAGGCTGAATCTCAGTGTAAGACAGCTCTCTAAAACTGATCTCTAAAACCGTGCACTACAGTGAAGTGCAGAATGATTCTTTTAGTGATTCGGTTCATTTAGTGGAATGAGTCGACTCTTTTACTCACTGATTGATCCTGTTGAATTTCAAAGATGTGTTTAGGTGAGGGAGAAAATGTCATTTTTAGTTATACGCTAGCTAATAAAGATCCAGAAGGATAGTTTTGAAATATTTGTGTTAAATGTCACATATGATGGAGTTAACAGGGGTTAAAGGATATACTGGTTGACGTCTTTGCTTCAGTAAAGCTGCTGTGTGGGCTGGAGGCTTCGCACGGTCCTGTACAGGAAGTTCTGTCATCAGCAACCGACGTGGTTAAAGATGTGAATGACAGCAGCGAAGAGCTGGACTCCGAGGAAGGCGACGGAGAAAGCAGAGGGTCATGTAAGAAGAAGAACAGCAAGAGACGCAAAGGTAACAGTGCTTTCCTAACTTTGCCACTAGCCGTGACTTGCAGTCTTACATTTACATTTACAGCATTTGGCAGACGCCCTTATCCAGAGCGACTTACGTCTCTCTGTCTCTCAATCTCGCTCTCTCATTCTCTGTCTCTCTCGCTTTAATAAACACAAACATGGCCTGTAGTGCAGTAAAGAAAGTGGAAGGTTTGTAATCATATATGGTAGAGCAAACCGAATGATTCATGGCATTCTGCCTTTTCAAAAATTAATCACTGGGGCCATAACGGTCTTTGTAAAACGGATAACTGCGACCTTTGATCATTCTGCTAAGGGGGAGGATCATTCTAGTCTGCTCCTAGGCTGTTGAGGAAGTAGACATGCAGAGGTAGTTGCAGTTGATTATCAATGCCTGCCTCACCTTGGTGTCTGTGGTGTATGTTGTAGAAAACGGTGAAGGTGCAGATGGGGAAGTGTATCCCATTGACATATGGCATGTTCTTGCTGCCTACATCCGGCCTGAAGATGTCTGCAGGTTTGCACTGATCTGTAAGAATGCCTGGGCAGTCACGTGCACTGCAGCGTTTTGGACAAGACTGTACAAGAGGTAAGAAAATCGTATCAAATTATCATTTTCTTTTTCCTGTCATGTAGATTATATAATGTATGATCTTTGAGCATTTTTATGTACCATCAGTTCTAGTAATGCTGATTGTATACATATAAATAGTAAATCACATAGCAGATTTTACTGTGGAATAGCAATATAACATAATATTAAAACCACTGACAGGTGAAGTGAATAACATGGATGATCTCATTACAGTGGCACCTGTCAAGGGGTGGGATAAATTAGGCAGAAAGTGAACAGGCAGTTCTCGAAGTTGATGTG